TATATCAAGTCAAATATATAAAAGTTACTAAAATTAGTTAATATTTAATCGATTAGAATTAATATAAATGTAAATTTATATTAAATCTTTATAAATATAATTTTAAATTCTTTTTAATGATGATAATTTATAAAGATAGATTAAGCTATGAAATAATCAGAAAATTTAAGAAAAATTCATCATAAATACCACTTTTTAAAGGATAAAGCTAAGAATAAATTATTGATAAAACTTCTGTAATAAATCTTAATTATATATGGTTGGTAGATAAGGTTATAAACATTAATTTACTCTATAAAATAATATCCGCTTGATTCCAGATTATAAATAATAGACAATTTCAAATAACTAAATATTTCAAACATATAATTTATAAGTCTTTTGAATGAAAATAAATTAACTGTTATTATCTAAAACCATAATCATGCCAAAATCATAAATAACAAAAGTTTAGACAACTATAATTTATGGTTTTTTGCAACAAATGATTAATGAGAGTAGATATTCAAAAAAAGTATTCTAATACAGAAAAAGTTTCGAATTTCATAGTTCCAAACAAATTAAAAATCAAATTTCCTACAGCTTTCATGAATTAATAATTAATTCATCTATAAAATTGCTTTTTAATTCTATTAGATTTACTCTTTTTTTCAACATGATGAGAATAATAATTTATTATAGGGCTGAAATATCTATTTTTCTAATCAACATCTACCCAAAAATGAAATAATTATTATCCTTCCTTATGATTTTTAAATGATATTATCTAAAATATATAATGAGATCTTTTGTCAGTATTTTATAAAAAATTAACACAATTTTAATTAAATCTTTAATAATCCTACTTTAAATTTATTCCTTTTCTTATTGAATCCAATCTTTAACATATTTTATTATTTTTCTCTAACTTTTTTTATCTACTTATAGTTTGTATCATGTACTAATAAATAATCAAACTACCATCTTAGATCCTAACTAATTTTACATTACCCACTAAAGTATATAGTATTTATGTTACCAATTATTGAATAGAATAAGAATCTTTTTGAGCTTCATTTTCTTTTGCTTTTAAGCCTATCATTCCACCTGTATTTCAAATTTTTCCTTTAAGAATTCATCTTCTTATTTTGATGCGTTCTTGTAATCTTAAACTAATTTTTTATTATGAATAATTATTAACATTTTTTTTATAGTACTCCTAATTTCCATTCTTATTCCTTTTTTGTCACAATTATTGGAACTATGTATTAGAAATAAGATTTCAATAGGTATTCAATCATTATGTAATATAATTCAAGGTGTTAACCAGTATATTCGATATTTAATTAATTTGGTTGGTTCCCTATGAAATATAAGTTTGAGTATATAATACTATAAGAATTCTTTTTCGGGGTAAATCTTTTTATATTAATGAATTATAAATAATTATTTAACATACTCCCATCTAAATTAATTCAAGTCTTCAAAATAAAAATATTTAGAAATATTTTTCTTACTTTTTAAAATATTGTTCCTTTTAATTTTTTCATAAAATTTGTTATATGTGAATTGACTAATAAACTTGTTAATAAATGTCGATTACTAATATCCAATTATTTTAAGGATAGATAAGAAAATAAGCTTACTAAGGTGATATTGGGAGATAGTTAAAAGTCACTTTCATATTTTGTCTATAGTTCTATATACATAATCTTGATCATAAGTTGATTTAATCATATCCCTTTTCAGTTGTTAAGTTTATAGTGAAATTGATTATTATAACGAAATAATTGTTGTATTTGAAAAATAATTTGTTTGTATTTGGCAAAAATTTTGATTAGAGATCCTGTTAATCAAACCTTATAATTGATTTAAGTAATTCCTTAATTCTTTTTTGTGTTCTTAAGTATTGAAAGATTTTTAGGTGAGATATATTTAAGCAATTTTAATGAAGGGACAAATTTCTATCACCTTCTTACTTTTTTAATTTATGGTAAAAATATTAGATTGTATTTTAGAATAGCTATATTTGTAGAGTTTAACAATAGTTTAGTTAAAACCTTCTTCTAAAATTCCATAGTTCTGTTTATTCCTGATGAATTAGAGTTATATACCCCAAATAGATTACATTTAATTCATTTATTCATATCTGTTTATTTTAATAATACTTTTTAGAGTCAAATCAGTATCATTTGAATTTATATCAAGAAATTGAATGAGGTGTGAATAAAATAATATTTGATATATATCCAATAGTTCTAAAGACATAGCTAGCTCTTTATTGCATTATTTTCACTCTATAATCTAGTTAGCTTATATAATTGTAATATAAAAAGTTATGAATTATTAAAAAAATTAACATTTAAAACTTATTTTAAATGATTTTAGTTTAATAGGTGAGAGGATTTAAGGATTATTCATTAAAATAAATAGTTTTCATTAATATAACAAATAATATATCAGGCAAAAGAATTTTAAATGTTTTTTTGAAAATTTACAAGGAGGAACTAATTGAAGAAATTAAAATCTAAAAATTTTGGTCAGTTATTAGCATTTCAAGCAATGTACAATATCTATTTTATAAATTAGAATTGGAAAAGTATACTAATAAAATTTTTTTTTCTTTAATGGAATCTATATTTAATGTAAGCAAAACAGAAAGTATTATAAAAAAAGAAGTAAGTAATAGCAAATTTTATAATTAGCTGAATGACAGATGAAAGAAGAAATCTTCAAACAAATGCTCCTCTAATAGTTGTAAAAGCTTAACTGATATTGATATCTAAATCAATTCTAGGATATATCTAATTTCACATTAGAATAAATTATAATTGATTAGGATATTTAATTTTCAATTCAAATTCATCTTGAATATATATTAATCTGAATAAATAAACATAATTACTAAACCACGATAAAACATTTATCTTGAACATATCATAATAAAATTAAAAAAACCCAAACTATAAAGTTCAACAAATCTAGGTTCAATTTCAAATGAAAAATAAGTATACTTTGCTATAAAGTAGTTGACATTTTTATAAGTATACAAAATTATTACAACACCATATTATATTTAAGATTATAAGTTTTTAAGGGCGCATATCTCTAATGTCTAATCCATCTCATTTCTATTTAAATTTATAATAAAAATATATTGTGAAATATACAATAAATTTAAATTCAAAAATATTTATGATGAAATTTTTGTTTAATAGTTGGATTATTCTAAGCTAATTAGTGAATATCTTCAATTGAAAACCAAAAATAAGAAAAACGCGGTATAAAAAAGACATTTTGAAGACTTTGGGCCTAATATATACTAAAAGGAAAACCTAGCCCATCTGATATTCATAACAAAACTTTTCATTCAACATACTACCATGTATATTTCAAGCTGTCATCTTCTATTAAAGATGATATTTTAATCCATAAACGAAAGCCTTATGGAAACATTTATATCTAGATAATTATAAATAAAAATCTCTATTTGTCAAATGATAACAAAGCTAATTTGGATGAAATTTATTAGATAAATGGCAAAAGATGGGTAACTCTAATGATAAAAAAATTTATGATATTTTGATGCAGCCATAATTTAGATATTTAATATTATGATGGATTAATATTATTATTTTATATAAAATATTTACTTTAAATTTTGGCCTTAATGAAATCATTTTAATATACATTAATTTATATCATAGATTTCATTTCATATAATAAAATAAAATAAAGTATTTTTATAAAATAACTTTTATACTTATGAACTCAAAAAAACTAAAACAGTACTGATATATCTTTTTTTATTTATGATACTAAGATGTTCATATTTACTGCTTAGCAAGTTTGTTATTAATTTAAGATTTGGGACATCCTATTCTAAGTTTTAGATAAATTATGATCTATATTTTAATGATAGATTTTTAATTCTTAATATTAATCTCAAGAATAATAAAAAGTTGTATAATTAATTTGGCTTCATAGAGAAAGAAGAGATTATTTTATTAGATTTGCTCCTTTTTGTTACTTAGATATAAGGATATCATTCTTCTCTTATCATTATAGATTATATGTGAAGGGTAAAAACTTTCCAAAACGAAATAATTAATTCAAGTTTTCAATTTAATTAAATGATTCATTTAAGGATAAATTAAATTATGTTGTTCAAGCATATATTTTAAATATGTTGAATCTTTGTAAAGTTCTAAATAAATGAAATTTAAAATTATACAGGCCCACAATTCTTTAATCTTTCAACTTAATTATGCTATCATAAGAAGATAAATAGCACCTGTAGAATATTTGACATTACTCTTTCAATTTTTTTAATATTAGGAGCTCTATTAAATTCCTTTGACTAATCCACAATTTTTCTTTTTGTAAATAGAACGAGGATTGTTTGTCGTACGATTAACCTTTTGAAACATTTGGCTAAAATTTAGAAGTTCAATATTTTTTTTAATAAATGATAATGGCTGCTCTATAATATTATTAAACTTTAAATTATTGGCGATTTCGTAATAAATTAGTAAGGTTTAGTTTTATTAATCTCATATTCAAAAGAATTATCAACTCCTTATATGGTTTCCCTGGACAATTATTGAAAACAAAATAATTTATCACCTTGCAGGATAAAGTTTTAATTGTTATCAATTGTTACCATTATTGCAAACTAGAGTTGTAATTAAACAAATCATAAACAATAAAGCTTTCCTAAAAAGAATAATCACTTTTAGACCTTGATATTTCTTCTTATTTTCTCATATTGGGATTCCACATTTCTTGAGATGGATTGTTTTTTTTTGATCTCATATCTTCCTTAAGTAATAATATAGTGAATTAGTTATTTCCATACTAGAATTTATTCAAAATTATTTCTTTTGCTTTAATTAGCTTTGCATTCTTAAGAATATTTAAATAATCTAATCTTTTATTAGACACCCTTTATCAAATGCATGTATATTTATATTCATAAACTTTTTCTTTATTTTAACAATCAGTTTGTTTAATCTAAAAAGATATTGATTGAATATTATTTGAGCAGAAAGGTCTGACTAGAATTAGAAAGTGATAAATTTCAATGGCAAATTAAGAACCGATAGTTCCTCAATAATTTTATTTCTAAGAACTATATTAAGCAGAATAGTCAAGCATTATGAAAAGTATTTGTTGGTTTCACTTTATTCTTAATTATTAGTAAGAACTTAAGAATTTTTATGAACCTCTCCTCTCTAAAGATAAATAAATAGTAATACTTCTTCAACCTTATGATTAGTTACTTTTAATTCTTAAGTTCATTTATAAGAGGTATTTACTATAATTCTTTTTAAAATCTTATACTTATATAATAATGAATATACTCATTATTTTTTAGATTATGGTATTCAGCTGATTATGGAATTATTATTCACTTAGTTAATTGAGCATTAATTTTGCTCTGATGCAGGTAGATTAGGATAAGTTAATGATGTTGAAATTATAATTAAAAATTTCTATAAGGATTGAAAATTTAAAAAAAAGCTTAAGGAATTTAGGTTTTGATAGGCAATTAACATTTCCTGTAATTATTGATATTCATAACAATTTTGTGAATAAATAATTCTTGGTTTTCTAAATTAAAACTCTAACTAGATAATAACAAATCTCCAAGTCAAATTGAATTCACCGAATTTTCAATTTTAGATATCTATATCTTTATTGATCATTTTTTAGGAAACTTTTTAAATCAGAAAGTTTTTGCTGAGCTTTTACTCCATAATTTTTTTGATGATACAAAAAGAAGTTAATCTTTAATATTATAACAAATATACATCTATAATAGTTAAAAGTCACCAATTAGAAAATGAAAGAAATTTTACTAGACCAACTTTAGTCATCTCCAAAAACACCAAATCAGATATTTCAACCATACTTTTTATTGATTTAAAATTTTTACATAAATACTTTTTAATTCATTCAAAAGCTATGTTTGTTTGCATCTTATAATATGATTAGATATAAATATTGGTTGATATGCAATATATATCTATTCCTCTGATGACTTCTTTATTTTAAGCAGTTTATAAAATTATTTAAAGTGGTGCAACACAATTGCATTCATATGTCTAATCTCTTTTTATTCAAAATATAACCAGTACACTTCTTACATTTAATTATTTAGAATTATATAAATTAATATTTATAAATATCTTTTACATTATTCATCATCAAATTGGTATATTATCTAATAATTTTATTTTAGAGTAATGATAGACACCCACACATGGATATAATTCTTATGATGTATCTATATCCAACTACTAATAATCGAAATGATATTTACAACA